TCCTGCTGAAAAGGGACGCTGTAGGTTTCAGGGTGAAGATCTTCTCTCACTACTCTAAAGGGCCCCTTTGGCAGTAGGAAACACATAGACTATTACGGAGATTGATTTTGGAGTGTCAGTTATCTTGATGGGGTCATGATTCTGCTTGGCTGTTTGGCAATTATGGAAGGATGGAACTGGGCAGTTGGATAAGGTCTGCTGACCCAAGACATCGTCTTTTCAATTGCTTTCACTTTTCTAACGGGTGAAAGTGTATGCATTTGGGATCCTATTCAACCACTGCTATCAAGTTGATTTATACGCAAAGTAACTCTTCATGGGTTTGATTTTTGTTGGCTTTTTTTTTTATCTTCTCCGCACCCCCAGCTTCAGTCCCTACGGCCACTGCCACTTCCACACTTCATGATTTTGGGTTTTGTTTGTTGTTGATGTTGTTGTGTGCTGTCAAATCGGATCCGACTGGCACAGGAGGGGATTGCCCCTCCTCCAGCAGAGCATCTGGTGGATTCGAACCTCACGCCTCTGGGATTGCAGCGCAGCTTCTTACCACTAGGCCACCAGAGCTCCCTTTTCATTGGATTTTTGAAGTAAATTTTTACAAAGTAGCGCTGGTGGCAGAGTGCATTAAGTGTTAAACTGCTAGCAAAAGAGTAAGGGAGTGTTAGCGAACAAGGAAGACTGGTATAGATAGAAATGGTGCTATTCTTTAAAATTAATTTTAATGAAAGTTTACAGAGACTTAGGATTTCCATTCATTCATTGTTGCACTTTTCTCCCTGCCCACCCCCTCTCCTCCAATTCACTCTTCTCCTTGAAAAGTAAAACTCTTTTACTGTTATTCAATCCCTCCCCACAAGTCCACTAATACCCAATCATATGTCCCTTTTAAACAGTTCTCTCCCTCATCTGTTTCAATGCAGTATACATCGTTCCTCCCCTTTTTCTCAGTTACCTCCCAACCGCAATGTCACTCCCGTTTTACAACACTGGCCCTATGCAGTATTTGTCCTTTCGTGACTGAGATATTTCACTCAGCATAATGTCCTCCAGGGTCACCCATTTTATATAATATTGCATGAGTTCCTTGTTTTTCAATGCAGTGTAGTATTCCATTGTGTGAATATAACACAGCTTCTCTATCCATTCGTTTGTTGAGGGGAGAAGTGATGCTTTTGATTGCGGGCTTGGGGGACAGTATTGAATATCTTGTGGACTATAAAAGAACAAGCCTGTCTCTCAAATATTATTATAGCTCAAATCGTTGTATTGGTTCATTTCAGCTCCTTTACAGCCAAACCTGGGGACAGGGACGGCTTCAGTTTCTCTGCCTTCTCTTGGTCTGTCATGACCAGGGTATAAAGGTATACCCACTGCACCGAACCTTAAACTCACATGATCCTTATTTTTCTCCATCTTGAAAGATTTGGCATCCTTCTGCCGGGCTGTGAGCAGAAAGTCTTTGATTTCCTCAATTTGGGGGGGGGGGGGGGGCTGCGGGCGCGTGCGGGTACCCGGCACAGAATCACCCCAGATTAGCACCGCTTCCCACCATGTACCGCCAGACATAACACACGATCTAAGCCGATCTCTCTCAAAGGAAGTGCAAGCAGTGTGCACCTCAGAGGCAAAGAATGGTGACACCTTGTCACAAATTTCTTCAGGTGTATTGCAGGAAGGGACCAGTCATGATGCATGACCGTCATAGACATGATGCTGGGAAACGTGAAGGGTCAGTGAAAGAGGGGAACCGTCAGCGAAGTGGGTCGACACGGCGACTGCAGACGTGGACTTGCGCGTGGCGGAGCTCACAAGGAAGGTGCAGGGCGTGCATCGGGGTGACTGAGCCCTCGTCTGCTCCATGACATCTAACAACAGTCGGTCTAAACAGGAGAAGACTGCCCACCTGGGCCTTCGGAGTGGCTGGTGCATTTGGAAAAACGTCTTTTTTAATGAACAGCTCACTACTCAATGCACTGCACCACCAGGACGCCTCCTTCAGTATTTAGCCCCCCCCCCAAATCCAGTGAGGAGTTGTGAGTTCAAATTGAGAGGAGGGCAGGGGGTGAGATGTGATCCCCAAATACCCACTCTTTTTTTATGCTGAGAAATGGTAGCCTGTAAGTAATTTTGTTGTAACCATGTTGTGGTTGTTGGTGGTGGTTTGTGGTGGTGTTGGTGTTAGGTGCCATCGAGTCAAGTATGACTCATAGCGACCCTATGAACAAGAAATCTGAACCCTGTCTGTCCTGCGCCATCCTCACACTTCCTGACACACAAGAGCCCATCGCAGCAGTCACCGTGTCAATCCACCTGGTTGAGGGTCTTCCTCTCCTTCACCAATCCTCCACCCTTTCCAACGTCATGTCCAGCTCCAAGGAGTAGCACCTCCTAATAACATGTCCAAAGTCTCTAAGGCAAAGCCTCATCATTCTTGCCTCCAAAGAGCACTCCGTCTGCACCTTCTCCAAGACATATCTGTTTGTTCTCTTGGCCGTCCATGAGATGTTCAGGGCTCTTCTCCAACACCACAGCTCAAAGGCATCAATTCTTCTTCTGTCAACCTTATTCATTTTCCAGGTCTCGGATGCATAGCTAGTAATCGGAAAGACTATGGCCTGAATCAGATGCACCTTAGTCCTCAAACTGACATCACTACTCCTTGATAATTTGGAAAGGTTCCTAACTGTAGATTTTCCCGTTGCAATGTGTCTCCTTATTTCCTGACTGCTCGTACAAAGGGTGTTAATTGTGGATCCAAGCAGGATGAAGCTATTGACCATTTCAGTCTCCTCTCCATCCATCATGACACTGCCTATTGGTCCAGTAACTGTTGTAACCAAATCTTTATACAAATAATGCTTGAGCTCTCTGCACTTGTTGCAAACCTAGGAACCTGTTAGCTTCCTGTTCACACTGTGAATACACGCACTTGTGAGCTTTATAAATGAGAATGTCGGCGAGCTCTGGTGGCCTAGTGGCAAGAAGCTGTATTGCAATCTCAGAAGTGAGCGGTTCGAATCCACCAGATGCTCTGCTGTAGAAGGAGGGACAATCTCCTCCTGTACTGGTCAGATCCGATTTGATGGTACAGACACAAAAAAATAATAATAATTTTAAAAAAATGAGTGTCGTGTTGAAAATAAGGAAACCTGTGGGGGTGCTAGAGGGAGAAGCGTGCAAATGAATGAATGGAATCAATTTCTTTGTGACGCTTTACTAAAAATTTAAAATAAAATATATATATAAGGTAACTCCAGTTAAACAGAAAAGGAAGAAACTGAGGCAGAGGGATGAGCTGCCCGGGTCGTGGTCTCGGCCCCGACCTTGCCCCTGACCTTGGCCCTCTCCCGCCCCAGCCGACCTGTACTCCGAGGAGCCCGGGGAGGAGGAGCCCGCCTGGGTGCAGACCGAGCGGGAGCAGTTCCGCGACTTCCGGGACCTGAACAAGGACGGGCGGCTGGACAGGAGCGAGGTGGGCCACTGGGTGCTGCCGCCGGCCCAGGACCAGCCGCTTGTGGAGGCCAACCACCTGCTGCACGAGAGTGACACGGACAAGGTGTGTGGACGGGCCACATGTCCTACGCTGGTGGCCAGTG